CGATCGCCTCAAAAGACGAGACATGTTTTCGAGATGGAATTCGAAAATTGCCTGAGAGGTGGGAAAAAGTAGTAGCCAGCGATGGACAATACTTTGATTAATCTGTTCATTAATTTTGTTCTGAAATAAATGCATTTTTGACCACAAAAAAACAGACCAAACTAATTTTTACTCCCAATAATAGAAATGACTATACGTTATCAATTATCGTCATTATAATATATAGCTGTCATAAAATTGTTAGAAAATAATATTATCATAGTTAACTCTCTTATTGCATCGTTTTATTTAGCCGAAGTCTCGCTTATTTCGCTCGACATCACACGATAAATCGGAAGGATAATAAAATCGGGGGTTTCAAAAGAATTTGTTATATAANGTGTGAAAAGTACGATCCACATGTGATTTAGCGCACATAACTTTATTTCTATATTATACTGTTAGTCATAGAAGTTTGCATTAATGCTGTGATGGAAAATAGAGAAATTCGTATAATTTACTTATACGAGTTCAATCTTGGTTATACTGCAGCCGAGATAACGCGTAACATTCATACTGCATTTGGTGAAGGTACTGTAAGTTAAAGAACGACGAGACGTTGATTTGAAAAATTTCGTTCTGAGGACACAAACCTCGACAATTTGTCTAGTGGACACGCACCTTCCGTCATTGATGACGTTGTTTTGAAGGAGATGATTGAAACATCCAAGGTTAACAGTCTGAAAGATTGTCAAAAGATTCGAAGTTGATCATTCAACTGCCGTCCGATACTTAAACAAGTTGGGAAAAGTGAAAAAGTTGGATAAATGGGTTCCCCCTGAAATCATAGAGAGAGACAAATTGAGACGTTTGGAGATCTGCATTTCTTTGCAGTTGCGACAGAATACAGATGGAATTTTACACAGGATTGTGACTTGTGATGAAAAATGGGTTTTGTATGACAACCACCGACGTTCTACGCAGTGGTTAAATGCGAATGAGGCTCCAAAATACATTCCAAAATCGAGTCTTCACCCCAAGAAAATGATGATGTCTGTATGGTGGTCTAGCAAAGGTATCGTTCATTATTCATTTACCAAACAAGGTGAGGTTATAAATTCTGATAAGTACTGTCAGGAAATTGCTATCGTGCACCAAAAACTGTGCGCTCAACAGCCAGCATTGGTCAATAGACACGGCATGTTGCTGTTGCACGATAACGCTAAACCACACATTGCAAAACAAACCGTTCAAAAACTCGCCGAATGAACATTGAAGTTCTCCTTCACTCTCCCTATTCTCTAGATCTCTCTTTTGAAAGTAAATCAAATATTTTTGCATTAAGAATTTTTCGAATTATAAAGCTTGAAAGTTGTAATACCGCCGACATTAGCATTACCCAAGATAGGTATAAGTACCCCACGATTCGTTATTCCCATAATATTTGCTATAAACGCTCTCTGCTATATGTGGATGTGTGTGTATCAGCAGAGATAAGGACCCCACAGTTCGTCACTTCCGTAATATTTTTTTACTCCAAACCCTCTTTGCTGTGTGTCTCGGGTAGTGTTAATGCCGGCGGTACTGCAACTTTCAAGCTTTATAACTTGAAAAGTACTTAACGCAAAAATATTTTATTATAGTATTTTGAAAAGCTCTCGAGGTAAACTACAAGAATATGCATTAAAAATAGGAGTTTCTATTTAAGAAATTGAAGATGATCTTCATGTGACCTTTAAAAAGCTATCAAAGGTCAAACCAATAATACCATCCTATACATCCGTCGAAATCAAACAATTTTTGTATGAAACGTTCTGTAAAATGCTGTATTTCTGAGATAGATGTTTGTAACACTTTAATTAACTCACCCTGTATATATATATAAGACATGTACAATAATATATTATAAAAAATAATAATATCACTTCCTCGATGTAGATGACATTTCTTCACTATTTCCATTTTCAGTAAGAAAACAACTTTAAAGAGCCGAAAAAACCGTAATTTAAACGGTTTACCGGTACTTTCATTGTCCAGAAAACCGAAACCGGAACTCGAACTTTTATTAAATATTTTAGTGGACCTGAGCCGAATCTTTATTCAGTCCGAGCCCCTGGTTAGAATAAACTACTTTTATTTGGTTACAACGTCTTGCTTATTGCCTACCGTCCTACACCATCTCCCACCAACAACACCGATCCTTTAAAACTGTCGTGTTCGATCGACGCAGGCACGCCAAAAAAACTATAAGATATACAATTCTGAAGTTTTGCGAAAATATTTATCTATATTTTAATTATCAGGTCAGAAAATCTTTTCGTATTTTAAGTCGTTCTACTTGGCGCGTCTGCATTGAGAGTAAACCTCGAGAGAGAAGAAAAAGGGTGTTTATTTTGAATGCATCTAACCTTGCCGCACAAACTATTGCAAGCGGAGAGCGCCTGTGAGCTATTGTAAGTTATACATTTTGTGATTTAAAAAATCGCAAAATGGAGCTTTCAAAGCAGTAAATTAGGTTGTAATTTTATTATACGAGTTTAAAAGCTGTACGAAAAAAGGCACGAACACGTTTCAGACCCATCGAAATTTGTGTGAAGCTTTCGAACAAGATATGATTATCGTCATGTCAATTTTGGTTTGAAAGGTTTCGAAATGGTGATTTTAACCTGGAGGACGAGCCCACGTCCGAAAGGTCATCAACAAAGAGCGCTTGCGCAGCAAAGTTAAAGAAATTCCGAGTATTACCACTTGCGAGTTCGAGGCAGAATTCAGGGTAACTCACGGAACCATCGTCAACAGCCTCCACCAATTTGGCTTCGTGTAAAAATTGAACAAGCGCCACATGCATTGAGCGAGAGGAACAAGCTTGACCGTATCTCCAAGTGCGTTACGCTGCTCAACCGACATCGCAACAAACTTTTTCTTGATCGATTGATTATGTGCGACAAAAAATGGATCTTCTATGATAATATGGCACGAAAACGAAGTTGATGTGAGGTCGGAAGTCCAACTCAGAGGACTCCAAAGTGGAACATCCACGGGTAGAAGATCATGTTAAGTGTGCGGAATTGTATAATATGAGCTCTTACTAAGAAACCAAACGATCAATACGGACCTCTACTGTCAGTAGTTGGAAAGAGTTCAGACAAAACTCAAGGAATTCCGGCCCCAACTTATTTACTGTAAAGGTTTCCTCTTTCACCAGGACAACGCTCGCTCCTATGTGAGCGCACCCACGTTGAGAAAAATCGGAGAGCTTAATTGGAAACTTCTCGAGCACCCACCATACTCTTCTGACCTCGCATCATCCGACTATCAACTTTTCAGACTCCTATCAAATTCTCTTAACAGAACAAAATTCGACTCGGCGAACAAAGTCCAAAGAGAGTTGGATCCATTCAATGGCGCTACAGCCTAGTGACGGGCCTAGGCTTACTTCTTTCACTCACGTATGCATGTGATGCACATGCAGATTACACACATGCATAGTGTGGTAGACAGCACATTGATCTACCATGCTTAGAGATCCCGGGTTCGATCCCCGACAGAGCCAGAAAATTTTCATACGCTCGTAGCTCCTTTTCGGTAGTCTGGCAAACCCCAAAAATATTCTTGCCAAGAAAACCTCTCTCAAAAATTTACTGTTCGAAACCGACGTTTAACACGTTGACTGCCAACTACGAGATATCTCGTAGGTTGTTTACATGCCCAGGACGCCAACTACGAGTTATCTCGTCGCTTCATTACTTGATTAAATCAAATTGGCTTCTTAGACCAGAATCGTGAAAAGTTCCGTGGCAGTGTTAAACTGTAGGTCCGTATGCGTGTATAAAGAGAGTTGGATCTTCTCTTTAATTCCAGGACTAATGCCTTTTTCAAGGATGGAATTTTCGGACGGAAGCTTGTAGGTCGATTTGAGGAGGTCATTAGATGAGGCGGAGACTATATTGATGATTAAATAAAAGTGCTTTTCGTGAAAAATAATTTTTTCCTTTTTGCATAAAATACGAAAAAACTTTCTGACCAACCTAATATATATATATATATATATACACATATATATAGTAATTTTATACATTATTCTCTTTAATATTGATAAAGTTATAAATAAATCTGTTAACTATGGAACGCGAAAGGATTGGTAACTACGACTCCAGACGTAAGTTTTCAAACCAAAACGGCAAAAAATTATTGAACTATGAACTTGTGGCTACCGTCTTTACCACGATAAAGTCAGTATCTTTGATATTTCGATTTTTTAAGGATTCCGAAAGCTGAAAAAGGAACTGAACTGGTCAAAAATCGATTTTTCTCTTAAGTCGTGACAATTTGTAAAAAGTCAATTTTTATTCTTCATAATGGTGGAAACAATAGACACAAGCTTTACAGCTTAATAATTTTATCGCTGTTCTGGTTTCAGAAGCCTACAACTTCTGGAATCGTGACAACCATACAAGCAAAATTTTCGTTCAATGCTGCACAAAATTATTTATAACTTTATTAATATTGAAAATATGGTGTAGAAAAATTACTGTATATAATTAAAACATAGATAAATATATATAAAACTTCAAAATTGTACGTCTTATAGTGTTTAAAAAAAATTAACATTTTTAAAATTATCCACAAAACATTTAAGATGAAAATATTCCCTATAACATAATAATAAAAGAATAATAAAATAAAGTATTAGATTCTTTCTATTTTAAGCAAAACGAAATAAATTTTCCAAGGACGAAAATATCCTGAAAAAAGATACCCGAGTGCAAATTGCCCGATTGTACTCGATTATTACTTTTCCGAGTCACAGAATATCACGAATACCGTTCGATTAATCCCTCTCGAAAACAAATTTACCTGTGAAGGAAAGAGATCCATTCCAGCATGAACCTTCTTGTGGTCTCGACCCCGCGGGTGTCGGATCCCCAATGCTCGAGCCCGTAATTCGCGTACTTTCGGAGAATATCGAATCTTTCCCCGCTCGATATGTCGATTAGCTTTCTCTCCTTGATTTCCGTGAAGATCCACGGCTTAATCAAGGCACCGCGGCCGATCGTGATGCCTTGGACTGCACCGTAAGTTTCCTTTACTCTCTGGTAATCGTCGAAAGATAAAATATCGCCGTTCCCGAACACGGGCACCGGTCGTGCCGCCAAGGCGCATTTCTCTATGTATTCCCAGTCGGCTAGCTTCGTATATCTTTGCTCACGGGACCTTCCGTGCACCTGAAAAAGAAAACGGTTCTTCATTCAGCGCTAAACACGCGACAAGGACTGCATCGGTCTCCCTGAGAGTCGTATCTTTACTACCTTTTTTCGCATTTTTCAGAGAGCAGCTTTGTTTAATTTTCCGCTGTTCTGGTTTCAATAATTAAAAATATTTCCGGTCAAAATATCATTGAACATCAATAGTACAGCATAACGTATACAAAGTCGAGTCTTTAATAACATCAACATTATTTCAAAGCAATTTTCCTTAAAAAGAAATTCTCTTAACACATTAACGGCGGGCGATCTCGACGAAAGTATGCTAGGTAGCGCGGCGGCCGCCCGCCTCGTTTTTCGGCCTAGAGCGGGCGATATTTTGTGTGATCATAAAAACTTTAAGGTACAGTCGAGCTAAATTGTATTACTACGACTCCCGCCTTTAAGCCGCAGTCGAGCTAAATCGTATTACTACGACTCCCGCCTTTAAGCCGCAGTCGAGATAAATCGTAGTACTACGACTCCTGCCCTTAATGTGTTAACACTAAAACTACCAAAGCGATAAAATGACCGGTTTGTAATTTTTTCTTATAAAAATTACTCTAATTTTTAATGGTGCATTCTCCGATATTAACTGTAATTTTTGTCATAATATGTAAACGAATAAATATTTTCCCTTTGCATACTTATGTATTTATTCAAAAATCTTATTTAAATTGCTCCGATAAAAAGGTACACGTTAATCGTCGGTAGTTTTAACATTAAAATGCTTTCAATTTTCCTCAAATTTTCTATAAAAATAAATTTTTCTAAAAACGATTTTAGACAAAGAATATTTTAAATAATTTTCAATTTTATCTTCTTTAAAAGCAAATTTTACTGGAAAATAAAAAAGTAAAATAAAAACTTCTTGTGTGGAAAACAAATTTTAACTGAAGTTTTGCTTCACGGTGAGGACACAGCCTTCGCGAGGAGACCGACTCCGACAGCGAGAGGTATAAATCCAACAGACTTACTCACAGTAATCATGGACACACCCCACTCGTGAAACTTTGGCATTAAGTTATGCGCAATCGGCCTGTCAATGTAAACCCCGGTCCTAGTCTTAATAGATAAAGGTATGTCCAACACTTGACTGACGGACTTTACTACGGTCTCGAGTACGTTCAACCGATTGAGCATACCGCTGCCGCCGCCCTGCCTGTAAATCAGATCGATCGGACAGCCCAAGTTCAAATCGATATAATCTACGTCGATCTCGCGATTCAGCAGTTGGGCGCATCTGGTCAACACGCCGGGGTTGTTGCCGCACAATTGTACGCCGAACACGTCCTCGCACTCGTGCCTCTTCACCAATGCCCATTCCTCCTGGGCGCCTTTCAGAATCTTTGGCGCCAAAGCCATCTCTCCGCAAGTGATATCAGCGCCATACTCCTTGCAAATCCTGCGAAACGGCAGATTGCCTACAGTCGTCAATGGGCTCAGCAGGATCTTGCTTCTCCAGTCGACCTTCCGCTTCTCCGACCTTCGCAATCTGATCAGGTCGCTATCATCTACAGGTCCGATCCTCGGTTTTGCCGACTCGTGCGACATATCGCAAGCGGATACGTTGCTTCCCGCATTGACACTGTTGCTGTTGTCCGAGGTATCGGTGGTTTCTGTGACCTCCAATTTCGGCTTCTGATACTCAGCTCCCACCTCGCAGATTTCCCCGTTGTCAATCTCGGATCCGGACTTGGAGTATTGTAACTGCATTTTCCTTCTAGACGGATCGTTAGCTTTGATAATCGCCTCCGCTTTGGCAAAATCATACTTGTGCTTGCGCAGTTCGTTTTGCAGGTCCTTGGACAGACGATTCATCGTAGATGGCGAGCGCTTCTTGTGCTCCTCGAATCTCTTCTCGTCGACAATGTTGAAACCGTCTTTGGTCAAATGTCGTAAGCCCATTCTGCACGTAGTTCCTCGTGGGCACTTACCGGTCACGTTGAAGATGTGACACTCCGTGCCGATATCCACCGGTCGTATCTTCAGATATTCTTTACGGTCGTGCAGGAACGCGCAGCGCTGATTCAAACATTTTTTCTCTGGCTCAGCCGTCGTTTGATCTGCGATCCATGGGCACAGACTCAGCTCCCTGGGTGCTTTGAACGGCGGCGGCCTTGCTTTATTTTGACCTCGGAGCTTCTCCTTCTTGTCGTCATGTTTGAATTTTTTAACAGGTGGCTCATCTGATAATGGCGCCTCCACGTTCTCCACATTTGTGCCTAAAAATACCTTCTGCTTATCGGTTTCAGTCAAACGCTTCTCGCTCAACTGTCTCACGTGATCTTCAACAATAAACCTGGAATGTCACATGTGTATTAATTCTAAGATAGCAATAAGCATAATAGGTGTAATAATAAATAATAGATATAACTAGAAATATAAAATAATATAAACCTATAAAAATGTTTCTTTTGTAATATTTAACATAGAAATGAAAGATAATGAGCATCCTTTACAATTGGTCTGTTCTTTTTAGCTAAACTGGCCGTATTAGTTCAAGAAATTTATATACACATTGAAATGTATAAAGTGTACATAGAAGATTCTCCCATTTCAGTATGAATAAATTTCTTGAATTAATGCAACCAGTTCAACTAAAAATTACGGAACAAATGTTAAATATAACATTCCACTTAAACAATCACATGATCACAATAGGAGATAGATAATGAATCTTTTTCTCTAACGTGAACTTGTGAAAAATGAACATTTCTATAAGTTCTGATATTAGAAAATTTTTACCTTTCCCGAGTTCATGCTGGAGAAAAAGATTTATGATCGACTCCAGGAGTTTTCGGAATGAATCAGGTCTAATATTAATTTCAAAATAACAATAAATAATAGCAAAAACTAATAGACATAGCCAGAAATATTGTTAATCTTATAATTGTTTATTAATAAATTTATATTTAATATTAATAAATTTAAGTTAATTAATTAATTAATTAAGTTTATTAATAAACATATGGTGACAAAATAATATAAAACCATGAGAACGTTTCTTGTGTAATATTTAACTCAGAAACTAAAGAAGATAAACGACCTTTGTCATATATTAAATAATATTCTAGTTAAATAGTCATTTACACAATCACAGCGGGAATTTATTGAATATAATCGACAAGAACCATGTGACTGCGTGTTTGAAGGTTAGGTAATAAATAGACATTGGTAATTACACTCTTGAAATGAATTCGAGGCCGAAAAGTTGTCGGAATTCTTACAGTATACCTACTCTTCTTTTATCGAGCATACGCCCTTTTGCTTGTCCTCGCTGAAATCAAACGAACAGTTCTCACATTTTTCACTGCATTCCGCCATTTCGTTCGTACACTTTAATGCAGGTGCAGATCGAGCGAGGTCCATTTACTTATATGTAAAGTCCGTATCAAACGACGGATTGGAAATCGAGATTGAATTGAAATTTGACCAATCAGTGCAAAGTTCACTAAATTTCACTAAACTTGAGGTTTGTTCGTTTTCGCTGCACCGCTGAACTAATGCAATAAGTTGAATTAAGAAAACATATACTTGTCTCGCTTCAACTTATTTCACTAGTTCAGCGGTGCAGCAAAAACGAATAGACCTCTAAGTTTAGTTAACTTTGTATTGATTGGCCAATTCAATTCAATCTCAATCCCCAATCCGTAGTCTGTTACAGGCATAATGGGTCTGATTTCTATTAATTGATTTGTTCTTTTTACCTGCACTGCTGAAATGGTTCAATAAATTAAAGACAAGTTTTATCTCGCACTAACTTATAGTACCAATTCAGCAGTGCAGTTATAAAGAACAGACTAATTGTATTGGCTGCACTAGTTTGCACCAGTTCTCTTTTCCTTTCTTTTCCACCAAATCCCAAGAAAGAGAAGAAAAGAAAACCAGTGCAAATTACTGCAGTCAGCAATGAAAAATAGACCTAGGAGCTCGATTCTTCAATCATTCATAAAGCCCATATCAAACTACAGATTAAGGTTAAGATTGGATTGAAATTTGGCCAATCAGAGCAAAGTTTACTAATTCAACTTTAATGAAGTTTGCTCCAATTGGGTAAATTTCAATCCAAACTCAATCTTAATCTTAGCCTGATACAGACATAACTATTCGTATACGTAAAGCGGGAAACACATACTTCAGCATAGCGCATAAAGTATGACGCATAACGAAGCGAGCCAATCAGAATTCTTCGTTTCCATTGTGAGGATAGAAACATAGAATTCTAATTTATTTGTTGTTTCATGCGTCATGTTAATGCATGCATAATTGTGTTATGCCAAAATATGTGCTTCCCGCTTAACTTATGAGTGACATCCAATGAGTGTATTGCTTTTCAACTGTACTCCAGTAGAGTATAAAATATTAAGCGTAGTATACATTGGACAGTAGGAGTATGTTCATAAGAAGTAAGAAAAAGAAATTGACCAATCATGTTCGAATGTAAAGGGAGTAATCGACTATGATTGGTTAACTTTTTACTCATACTTCTTACAATAAACATATTCCTACTACCCATTGTAGACTACGCTTTATTTTTAGGCCACTTTGATTGGGAAACCAAAAAAAATTCCTAAAAATTTATTGGAAGATCAAAAAAATTCTTAAAACCTTAAAAAACAAGGTTTACATACCTTAAAATAGCAAAAAACAGATAAATCCATATCTCCCAATCACTATCCTGAGGTTAAATGTTGTCCAACTTTTTCCAGACCACCCAAAAAGTATAGGTTAAAAAATCAGGCAAAATCACTTCAAAAAACGAAATTTTATACTCTAAAAAGCCTCAAAAATACTATATCTTGCAACTGGAGGTACAGCCTCGGAAGGGAGCGCGGCTGACCGCGAAAAAGAAAGAAGGACCAAGAACCAGGACTGGGAACTAAGGCGCAAACAAGAGTTTTATTTTCATAATTTTACACGTACAACAGTTTATTTTTTATATTATGGTTACAATATTTTTATTTTTTGTATTTAGTTTATCTTTATATAATTTTACGTTTTATTAAAATGTCTAACCATAAGAAGCGCTCGCGAAGCCGCAAAAGAGAAAGAAGAGTTATTTTTTCGATAACACCGTCAAAAAAATTAACATGATTAGTTCATAAAAAATCCAAAGTCATTTTTCAAATAAAAACCGAAATCAGAAGGGCACTTCCGGTCAACAACATTACGGACCCCAGTCGACAAAAAAGAAAGGTTAGGCCATCCCAGCGACTGGCTCCGGTCGGCTATAAGGAACGAGGTTATGTGAACCCGACCAACAGGCGCCAGCCGAATGGGAAGAGAAAAATGCGCGTGCGCAAGACCCACGTGGGTCCAAGGTGATTGGCCAAAACCAGCAGCGAGAAAAAGTATTGGCGGAGACCGGCGACGACTGGGCGAAGCCCCCGATGGGCGAAAGCGATTGGCCAAGACAAACAACGTATGAGGTAATATCGCGAAGAGAGATCACGTTCAAAATCATAGAAGAAGCAAGTGCGACTGTTCTACGCGGACGCTGGAGGTGAAAGGACGCAAAGGTGAAGGAGCCCGGAACTGCGTCAACTAACGAGAAGAGGGATCCCCGAGAAACAGCTACACGGGGAGATCGCCAGAAAGGACGGCCTGGTGCAAAACCGCTAGCGGAGGCCCAGGAGACGTGGGAGAACGACCGGTCGCCGCTGCGACGGTAAGTGGTTCATAAATGTGCCACAGTTCTTCTTTCGGAAACCCCGCGTCGGAAACCCGAGACGTCGCCCGTGTGAGAAACGCGGATCGCGACGTAAGTACCCAAGGTCGGAAAATTTCATCTGGAAGTGAAATCGTCGTCGGCAGGATCAAAGGGGCGGCCAACAAGTTAAACGATCCGTACTGCGTAGTCTTGTTGAGCGCACCCGATCTTGTCAGAACTTGCTAGCGGCAAGAGGTGCATTGTCCTGGTGCAAGATTCACGACTTGTTTTTCCACAACTCCGGCCGTTTCTTACGAACTCGCTCTCGCAGTGTTGCCAAAACTTTCAAATAGTAAGTTTGGTTTACAGTTTGACCTTCTAGAAATCTATTCAGTCATCACGATGCCGTTGATGTCGAAAAAAACGATTAGCATGGCTTTAAATTTTGATTTCGACATCCTTGCTTTTTTTATTCTTGGGGATGCAGGAGTTTTCCAGTGCATGGATTGCCNAATTGCGTTTCGGGGAGGGGACATCACAAAATTTTTATATGTTATTTACAAATCGGAGACAGAAATTTGGTGAAGACTTCGCTTCCTTCGGAATGGAACTTAAAAGGTTAGCGCGTTTGGCCTATCCTGAATGCCCCTTTCCGGTTCGAGACAAAATTTCTTGCGCGCAATTTGTTTTGGCGATTTCGGATGGTTTTGTTAAGAGAACATTACAATTGGAGGGAATAACTTCTCTGGTTTCAGCGATTGAGAGGGCTAAGGCTGTTAAAGTTATTCAGGAAGAGAATTTTGGAAAAGGGAGGGAAAGGAATTTTTACGGTAATGTCAGACAATTTTCTTCCAGTCAGAGAAATTTTATTAACAAAAATTTTGAAATAAGAAAACCGGAAATAAGTAGAGGGGAAATTTCAAGCCGAATTTGAATTTGAAAAAATCGGGGAATTCGATAAAGGAGTGTTGGCAATGTGGAAAATCGGGATATTTTAGGGCGGAATGTCCGGCATTAGGGTTGGAGGGTCAGGAAAATTAAGTCTTGCCGAATGGAACGAGGACGGTTTGGCAAAAAGAGAAGAGTCCCCGGTTTATTATAAGTTAAATCGTGTTTTTAGTAATGCTTTCTGCTTTAAAGGAAAGCTTGATGATAAGCTTTGTAATTTTAAGATTGATACAGGCTCAGACGTTTCTGTTGTTAGTAGCAAATTTGTGGAAACTTCAAAAGAAGTTTTTCCAATTGGAAGTCGTCGTTTAATTTATCGAACTGGAGAAATGGTTCCGGTACAGTTCGGAACAAATATGAGAGTAAATCTGGGAAAGTGTTCTATAGATTTGTTTTTGTTTATTGTTGACATGAAAGAGGATTGCCTTTTGGGAGATTTCTTGTCATCTGTTAATTTGAAATCTTGTCTTCGTTCAGTTTTAGAAGTTTCTCAGTGTGACAATGATAAAAATGATTTTGTGTATGCTCAAATTAAGAAGAGAAATGTTGTTCCTTCGTTTTTGTTGGAGTTATTTGAACGAGATTCAATAAATTTGAATTCTTCTCAAAAGGTGTCTTTCGCTGAATTATTGTTTGAATTTCAGGATATTTTCTCTGAATAGATTGTGGCTGGAAATTGTGATGTTTTGGAACATGAAATTAAACTTGACGATCTTCGGCCTATTAAGCAAGTTCCTCGCCGAGTTTCTTTTCATTTGCGGTCTGATGCGGACAGGATTATTAATGAAATGAAAGAGAAGGGAGTTATTGAAGAATCTCAAAGTCCTTGGGTATCTCCTGCAGTTTTGGTGAGAAATAAAGATGGTTCAATTCGCTTTTGTGTTGATTTTAGGAAATTTAATTTAGTTACAATAAAGGACTCATTTCCTATTCCGCGTATTGATGACACGATCGATCAATTGTCGGGGAATTCTTGGTTCTCAACTTTGGATTTGAAAAGTGGTTATTGGCAAGTTAAATTACGTCCTAAAGAAAGGGAAAAGACAGCTTTTTCAATTGGGAAAGGTTTATGGCAATTTACAGTTTTGCCTTTTGGATTGTGTAATGCTCCGGCTACCTTTCAAAGACTTATGGAGCAAGTTTTGCAAAAGTTTTTGTATAAATTTTGTTTAGTTTATTTAGATGATGTGATAATTTATGGTAAGACTTTTGAAAGTATGATTGAACGCTTAAAGGCTGTTTTTCTGCAATTAAGGTCCGTTTATTTAAAATTGAATCCTAAGAAATGCGTTCTTCTTGGAAATTCCGTTAAGTTTTTGGGCCATATTATTTCAAATGAAGGGATTTCGAAGGATCCAGAAAAAATTTCTGCTGTTTCGGATTGGCCGATACCTCAAACTAAAAAACCGCTTCGTAGTTTTCTTGGATCTTGTTCTTATTACCGGAAATTTGTAAAAGATTTTTCTTTGATTGCAAAGCCTTTATTTGTTTTTACTGAAAATCAATCGAAATTTATTTGGTCTTCTCTATGTCAAGAAGCTTTTGAAAAATTAAAACAATCTTTGATTGCTTCTACAATATTGTCTTTTCCCTTGGAGCATGGGTAACTTATCCTTCGTACTGACGCATCGAATTTTGGTATCGGTGCCGTTCTATCTCAGTTTCAGGAAGATCGAGAGAAAGTCATTGCTTATTTTAGTCGGGTTTTAAATAAATCTGAAAGAAATTATTGTACTACTCGTCGGGAATTATTGGCTATAATAGAATCGATTAAATCTTTTCATCATTATTTGTATGGTCGGAAGTTTTTGATTCGTACGGATTATGCTTCTCTTAAGTGGATTATGTCTTTTAAGGATTTGGAAGGCCAATTGGCGCGTTGGATGGAAAGATTGCAGCAATATAATTTTGAAATTTGTTATCGAAGAGGTTTATTGCATAGTAATACTGATGGCTTATCAAGACGCCCTTGTGCTGCAGATAATTGCAAGTATTGTTCTAAGATTGAGATAGGTAGTGAGGAGAAAAATGAAGTTTCTTCTGGAGGTTTGTCTTCTAAAATTTATTTGTCTTATTGGGATAGTTTGGTTATTAAGGATGGTGTTTTATATAAGAAATGGGAAGCTGGAATTTAAAATCTAGTTTCTTGCAAGTTATTGTTAATAGTTCTCGCGTGAAACAAATTTTAATTGAGGCTCATGATTCTCCTTCTGGTAGTCATTTTGGGATAAACAAGACTTTGGAGAAAGTTCGTAAATGTTTTTATTGGGCCACATGTAAAAGAGATGTTAAGAATTGGGTTAGGTCTTGTAAAGTGTGTGTTTCTAAAAGAAGTCCTTCAGATAAAGGGAAATCTCCTTTACAAATTTATAATGTTGGTGCTCCTTTTGAACGTCTTCAGATGAACATTTTGGGTCCATTACCTTTAACTTCTTCTGGGAATAAGTATTTGTTAGTCATTATAGATTGTTTTACAAAGTGGGTAGAAGTTTTTCCTTTGAAGAATATTAGAGCTTCTACACTTGCTGAAGTTTTTATTAATGAAGTAGTTTCTCGACATGGTGTTCCTTTGGAATTGCATACAGATCAAGGAAGGAATTTTGAATCGAAATTGTTTTTGGAGCTTTCGAGATTTTACGAAAACAAGGACTACTGCTTTTCATACGCAGTCTGATGGACAAGTTGAACGTCAACATTAGACGATATTACAGTATCTGTCCAAATTTATTTCTGAAAATCAAAAGGATTGGGATCGTTGTATT